AAATAACTATAAACTCGCCAGAAGTCACATATTGAGTTGGGATTTTACCGCAGCCTTCTGTCAGAGCTGTGTTCCCCTATACCACGCAGTAGTGTAGTCCTCTATCATTTGTTCCCTCAACAAACCTTCACCAAGTACCCGCTCCATGCTGGGCCCTGATCCAGGCACAGGAGCACAGCTACGATTAAATAAACAGACTCCTCAGCCCTCATAGAGACTCACATGCTCTTCGAGATATACAGACAATAAATATGAGATGTAATAAATATGCTCTGAATATTTAAATAATAGAAAACTTAATAACAGCAAAAGGCACAGGGCCACTAACCCCTCTTAAAGTGCACCCCCTTGCTTCAAAGGCACTCACTCATCCCGTCACTCCTGATGGTTTCTGCAGCAGCTCTGAAGTCCTCTTTCTTAGTGTCTTTAATGAGATGTGACCACCGTGGGATGAGTGCCCCTGCTGAGTGCCATCCAACAGAAAGGCAGGCTTATAAAACCACGATGGTGCCCGCTCATCCTCCTCCACCAGACCTGGCACCATGTGACTCCTGGCTCTTCCTCAAAGTCAAAAGGACAGGACAGGTGGATGTCTTATACCAATTGAGGACCCCAGGGCAGCCACAACAGTGCAGCTAAAGACACACCCGAGAGAGGACTTCTGGACCTGCTTCAGAAAGCGCCATGATGGGACAAGTATATTCAAAGCACGGTGGAGCAGTCTGACTGCAATTCACGGCAAAACGCCGTTTACCGTCATAATTTTCTATGAAATTTCAATACTCATCTTATTTTTTAATACCACCTTGTAAACTATAAAAAGGTAGTAGGTGAAGGGCTGGTAATTCGAGAGAGAAAATGCTTAGGGATATAGGAGAAGAGGGAAGGGAAGGAGGAAAGCTAGGTGATGTGGAAGGCCTGGCTGGGAGGGTGAAATATGAGGCCCAAAGGGAGGGCCAGGGCCAGGAGGGGATCCCGGGGCACACAGCACCCAAAGGGGACGAGCAAATGGAGAGAAAGTGCAGGAACAGGCGGCTCTGGTTTCCACGGCCAGATGAGATGCTCTGTCTCAGTTTCCATTAAGAAGGGAATGAATCGAGTGAGGTTGCAGGCAGATAGAAAATGAGGAAGTTGGCACACAGCAGGAAAGGAAGGAGAATGTGGAGCGTGGGCCAGGGTGGTGGCAAATGATGGCTGGAAAGACTCCTAATCTAGACAGATTTCAAAGACACAGCCCACGAGATCTTTCGATGGACTGATAAAGGCAGACGAGACATGCCACCAAGCTTTGCTCACTTGCTTCCCCGGCGACTGGCTTTTGTGTGGGCAACCAAAGCGCTGCGGCTTTTAGGGACTGGGACGAAGATGCCCCAAGGAGAAGCAGGTGTGGGTGAGAGTCAGCCAGTCCGGGGCACTGAGTCTGGGGCCTCTGTCAGAAGTCCAAGGGGGAAGCAGGGCAGCAAGGAGGATCTGACCGTACGGAGGGCACATGGTCCCAGGTGTCGCCTTTTCACAGACAAGAGCAGAGAGAGGTTATTTAAAGCAAGTAAAGGCGAGATAGTGCGCAGATCTCAAAGCACAGGTCTGAGATGAAGACCGGAGGTGGTGTGCCATGTGTGCACAACCACTGAAAATCCTCTCCATTGTAAGGAAAGAAGCCAAGTGAAGACGGTTAATGTAACCCATCTGAGTAACACGCTAAGCAGGGTAATGACGCTCCAATTGCCTGGTCCACCATTCATCCAAGGAGAAATTTTTAGCATCCTAAGAATCAGATAACTGAAAAATAGCTGCTCCCCTTCCATTGTCCCCACTTCCCAAATAGTAATATTCACATTCCTGCACCAACGCTGTGCCCAGGGTACAGCCTGAGACTTGCAGGAGCCAACGCAGATCAAGTCGGAGAATAGAGATGTGCACAAACTCAGAAACTGAGATGTGCAGACTTTTGAATTAAATGAGTTGAATTTCATTAAGCTGTTTGATGTTTGAAGAAAAAAGTTTACATATTTTTGATTGTCTGTCACTTACAAAGTTTAGGAACAGAGCTAAAAGCGACCATTTGTTTATGATCCATCTCCCTGAAAATGTTTTTAGAACATTTCTTGTTCCACTGGGAAAAAAAAATCGCTTATCTGTCTGTAATAAGCTTCATCCAGTGAAAAGTCTGGAGATGCACATTTATGCTCTTTAAAATGTCTTCTCCACAAAGAAATGCTAATATTAGAGAGACAGAGATTTACCATGACTTAAACATTATATAATACATACATGTATCTCATCTTGGACTATATAAACAATGAATTCATAATGCTGTGTATTTTCATTGCATGGCCAGAGATACCATGCTCTGAATCCTCTCGAGATCACCACTAAATTATGCTCATTGTACAGTTCATAAATTGAGACCAAAAAGGATCAAGGATCACAAGACAAACAATACCAGCACAACTGGTTCCTATTTCCATTTTTTTTCCAAACTCAAGGGAGCATTCCTTGACACACAGCTGCTTACCATAAAATGCTGTTTTCTTGTTTAATTATAAACCCTCCCAAACATGGTTAGAACTCACAGATGCTTGTCTGCATGCCATTAATCCAACCACTGCATCTTAGTTCCTAAGGAGGGTTACAAACCCCAAGGTGGTATAGTCACCATGTGGCACCCTGCACGTCAGCATGCGCCATGCACATCAGTGTGCCCTTACTGCATGCCCACTCTGCTCTCTTAGAGTTACACTAGACCATGTGTGTCGTGTGCTGGTCTAGGCTACACACAGTCTCCACCACTACTGACTTTCCTAGCGTGGACACAAGGTCCCTCTGTCATTTCTCCAAAGCCTCCTCCTCACCCCTTCCAGCCTCCATCTGAACTTTGTCCTTTGGACTGCAAAGTATGCAATTAGCTTCTTCTCTAAATTATAGCATAAGAATTTTTTTTTCAAATTAACTTTTGACAAAACAAATGTTAATAGGACCAGAAGTATCAGGACCATGTTTTTCATCTTTCTTCTCCATGAATAATAACCATAATGTAATGGAATTTCTTATACCTACTGAATATCAACACAGACACAATGCCTAAATCTTGAGAAAGTAAGACCGCTCACTGGTATCCAAAATACTGTGAAAATGGGAAATATTTCTTTCATTTTTCTTCAAACATCAGTCTATAGTGTTGGCACATGCCCAGGAGTGTACTGGGTTAATTGTAACAATAAAGAAAAATAATTTCAATCACCACAAAGTCAAAAGTGATGGTAACCAGTTTTTCACATAAATCACCATGTGTCACAATTTGGCATAAACTCTGATGCTCACGAATAATTCATATTCAGTGCATTAATAATGCATATCCTCTTCTGGTTGGAGTGCTCCCTAATACAGAAGGAATGTCTATTATCAGCCTCCTCAGGTGACATAACAGAGTAAACGTAAAATTGGAATGCTTCTCAACGCTCCCTTTCAAACTATGATACTCAGCCGGACCATAAGGTTATCAAAAATACAAAGTTCTTCTTATAAGAGTGACTCGGTTAAACCCCAGAGAGGGTTGCTTTTGCTGACAAGGATGTCTGCATAGTAGAAAAGAAAACCAATGAAACTTTGGCAAAGCTCATAGAGAATGGGTCGTCGTCCTATGATGCTTCTCCCTCATACATATTTATGCATTCACAAAAGTACAGGAAATAAATGCTAAAACTGGCAAGGAAAAAAAAAAGAAAGCAAAAGATCAAAAGAACAGGCAAGAGTTGTATAATAATTAGGAACGTTTCTTCCCATATCGGATTCTTCTCTGGTTGAGTTTACTACTGTGAAATTTTTCAATTTTCAGGAAAACTATCCAGGGAGGAAAAAAAAAAAAAAAAACAGTCCAGAGACTAAAACAAAAGAGAGGGGCCAAGCAGCATAGATTTGGGAGAAAAGCGGTCAGCGCCCCGGCCCTTCAGTGTGGCCACCGCTGACCTCCTTGCCCCAGACAGAGCTCAGGGAAACTTTCCTCTCCCGCTCTCCACGACCACTGCCTGGCCCCAGGGCCAGCATCCACCAAAACGGCCACAGAGCTTGACGCGCGATAAAGGCAAAGGAGACAGTTTGAAATTACAAAGATAAATGAATTAATAAATAATAAAAATAAAATTCAGCCCAGTACCCTCCATTCTTCAAACCCAAACTGAGGCAGGTTGGTTCTGTCCTAAAGCCCCCCCCCCAAACCTTCCTCCCAAGGGCCAAGGAGAGGGAGTTTGTGTCTACGCCTGTCCTCAGCCACCCCCAGATCCATTCATTCTTCTTTTCAGCTCAGAAAGCACCTGCGCTGTGCCAGGCATCATGTTCCTCGCGAAATAATCTCCCCGTGGGGCTCCGATGTGGACTCCAGCAACGGAAATCCACCACCCCCCGGCGGAGGACAAGGGGCAATTCAGACGTGGCCATCCACAGGAAGCTGGCCCTGTCCAGGGGCCGCTGCCAACACCTGGAAGAGAAGCGGCCAGTGTCCGGCCCCCTGGTCCCCAGGAGAGGCTTCGCCTGGCAGAAATCGCTCGGGAGGTCAGGGGATGACTGGCCTTGTTCCCACGGAGAGCGTGTGTCCCTGTCCCCATCCAGGCCAGCCCACCAAAGCGAAGTTGCCGGGGACCGGGGTAGGGGGGTACCCGGCAGGCTCAGCACCCCAACACCCCGCCCGGCTTCTGGCCTCCAACTCCCATGGCTACCGAGAAATATTTATTCCGAGTAGATGGGCTCCAGGGGCTACTGCAGCGGAACACGCGGCCACCAGCAGAAAGCCAAGTCATCCGAGAGATAAAGATAGCTGCATGACACAGGCAGCCCTGGCCTTGCAGCGGCAGCCAGGAGCGGGGGCGCGGGGGTGGCCGGAGCCCAGCGCCTGAACCCAGCGCGCGGCCGCGGGGCGCTCGGTCCCGCTCCGGGGACGGATGCTGGGATGGACCCGCACGACCGGACGGACGGGCCAGCGGGAGCTCGGGTGCACCGGTACTCACCCCGAGGCGTCTGCTCCGGATCCTCACGTAGCCTTGCTTGACGATGTCATTAAAATTGGAAGCCATCCCAGACCCCCGCCGGCGACCCCGGCCGGCGCGCTCCCTACCTACGCGGCTGGGGAGGGCGAGGCAGGGTCAGGGCGCGGCGTGCAGGGGCCAGAAAGTTGACGGAGCGAAGCGGCTCGGGCTGCGGCTCCGCGAGGTGTCACAAAGCACGCATCACTTTCCGGGTCCCCCGATCCCTGAAAGTGGGCGTCCGGCTGCAGCCACTTTGGGGGAGCGCGGCGCGGCGCGGGCGGCGAGGCTGGGGCGCGGCGTCAGCTGATTCCACGACAGCCCGCGGGGAGGAGGAGCGCGGCCCCGGGACCCGAAGGGGAGGAGGAGGGGGAGGACGAGGAAGGAGAGCGGCAGGCAGGGAGGAGGAGGAGCCCGCGGGTCCCAGCGCCCGCTGCGGCCACCCGAGAGCGCACGCAGCCCACCGCGTCCGCGCGCCCGCGCCGCCCCCGCCCACCTGCCCGTGCCCCGCTGGCATCCGCGCTGCTCCCCGCCCCGCCCCTGCGCGCCCGCTGCCCCCGCGGGGCATCAGCTGCCCTCGCCAGCCCCGGTGTCTTATTTTAAGGAAGAAAGGAAATTTCACTTTTTTCAATGGACTGCTCGACCCACCTCTTTCTTTAAACCCAATTCCTTCTCCGGAAGGGCCAACTGGGGGTGCACGTATCTGCCCACGGGTGGCCCTGAGCAGCAGGCTAGTGCTGGGACTTGGCTTTAGTGGCTTTTAGCTCCCCTCCTGGGCCTTCTTGGGTGTCCAGCATCGGGCCTCTGGGGTAATCAATTGCCACATTTTTCTCAAGCCTGTCTTTGCCTCTGGACTGTTAAGTTTACCAAGGGTTACAGGGACCCATCACCCTGTGGCCAGGGCGTCTCTAAAGCAGGCCTCCGAGTAAGTGCTCAATAAACCTTTCAGTGGTTATCAAGATGGAGCCAGACAGGGTTGGAGCCTAGGCCTGGATTAACTCATTGCAGCGCCCCTGTTTGAGGTAGGGCCTGCCTGTGTAAACCCAGGTCTGTAGTTAAACCTCGATCTTCTGACATAGCTTGCGCTCCTAAGCACTAAAAGACAGTTTAATCCTGCCTGTAAAATCAGATGGAAGGAGACAGAGTTCTTGAAACAAACTTGAGTTGGTATCACTCAGCTGCTAAACACCTAGCTGGGCATTGTGCTAACCTCGTTAAGGGACAAATGAGGTGAGCTCTAGATCCAGGTTTTACAGAAACTAAAGCGCGGAAGACTTTAGTCCGGGTGATTTGCTCTCAGTCCCAGGACTGGCCACTTGCAGAGCCAGGCTTTGGGTGGTCCCAACCCTGTGCCTCTTTGGAAGAGCTGGTGTCACTGAGGGGTGGTACATCCGTGGGGTTTTGGGGCAGAGCTTTCAGATCATATATGGTACCCTCAAAGGCAGAGGAGGTCAGAGATTAGACTACTGTTGCTTACTGGAGGTGACCAAACCAAGGCTGAGTGACCTTCAGAGAAGTTTCATCTCTCTAGTGGGTCCTCTGCTTTGATGACGTCAAAGCCCTTCAACCAATCCGTTCTTTTCTCACCGGCAACATTGGCCTTTAGGGAACCTGGCTTGCTACATGTCAGTTGGTTAAGGAAAAGAGTCATCCGAGAACTAAGACTAAACTGGAGCAATCAAAAAGCAAATATGCTGGCAGAGGGAATTGGTTTTCTTTTTCTTTTCTTTTCTTTCTTTTTTTTTTTTTTTTTTTTTTTTGCTATGTAGTAAACCATCTGCTGTGTCTTCCTGTTGCCATTCTATGCAAAATGATGTTTTAATTTTAATTTTAAGTCTCACTCAAAGAAAAGTAAATGGTAAAATCGTGTGGAAAACACTTTCTGAAGAGTTAGAATTCAAAAAAAAAAAAGTACTGTCCACCGTTGCCATGAAACAGAAGTATCATGGAAGGTATTTGCATACCACATCTATAATACCATAGAAACAAAGAATAAAGAAATTAAGGCTCCTAAAGAGCTGGGAAAAGCTCACATAAAAATAACAGGAAAAAAAGGCTGAGAAATTCATCCCTCCACAGTGAATGTTCAGCATCGCAAGCATCCATAAATAATTAAAGTGAAGACTTTGGAATCATACTAGAAAGAAACTAGATGGAAGGGAGCAAATGACTTTGTTTTAATTGCAAGATTGAATGTGCAAAGTGATAGAGATGCAAAATACACAGACTGATGTGCCATGCACTGAAGAGCGACTTAAACTTCTCCAAATTGTACGACACACAAAAGTCACTGCATCCATCAGATTTTCAACGCTCTAAAAAAGTATCTGAGAAAGTCCATTGAGAGGGGAAAAGGGTTATTTGAGCTCCTGGTTTCACAAGGTTCAGTTCATGGTCATGCAGAAACACCACGATGGAGGGAAACCTATTCACCTCACGGACACAGCAGGAGAAGAGTGAAGGAGGAAAGGCCAGAGCCACCTGCAGCGCCAGGTCACATACCCGTAACCCACCAGGCACACCCAGTAGTGCACTAGATCCACAGGTGTCTCTCAAGACAATCAAGTTGATGGTCAAAATTAACCATCACGGTGCCAGAAAGAAAGAGGAGTAATTCACTGAGATACATAGTGCAGAGGAACTTCAGGCAATGCACAAAAACACAGCCATACACTGCCAAGGACATACGTCACAATTTAGTTTTACTGGAGATGATTTTGATCTAAGGGTCCACTATTTTCCTCTCCTTTTTTATGCAGTTTTTAGCTCTTAGGACTTCTTACTTGCAGTAGATTTCTGTTTCCTTGCTCAGCATCCAGGCTTCTTTCTACCAGTGAGTGCCATTTCTCTGAGAGCACCCGAATCCCCTGCTCCTAGTACAAGGGTGTGGTCCTTAGGGCAACTGGTGGCTGGTTCAGCTGTAGACACATGGCCCACGCTGGCCAGTAGAGTTAGTTGGCCTGCTTCTGCTGGGCGCTGGGACAAAGACTCCCATTCTTTTGGCTGAAATGGAGCTGAGGGAAAGCAGCCAGGAGGTGCTGGAACCTTTGGGAGATCCCGCAAGACTGAGGTGGGATTCCCCACTGACTGAAGCAGCAGGACCTAGAGCTAAAGAGGAACAGGGCAAATCCTGATGACTCTTTCAGAAGCACCCCGTGAGCACTCTGTGTTATTTAAGGAGATGTCACACTGGCTGCCTTAGGCACATTCTTGTCACTGGTATAATTCTCAATACCCACAATTTTGAGGAGGAGAGGTTTGTTTTGGATCCCAGTTTCAGGCTGTGGTCAGCTGGCTCCAAGGCCGAAACACGATCGATGGCAGCGGGGCCTGGTGGCAGCCAGAAGTGGGGGGGAAGGGCAGAGGATGAGCCCTTCCAGCTCCCACCACAGTCAGCTGGTGCTCTCACCAGCCAATCGTCTTCCATAGCCCCACCTCTGCGTGCATGAACCTCTGGGGAACATTCTAGGTCTCCATCTTAACACTAGCATAGCAATGAGGCCACCAGTTGTAGCAAAGTTTATGTGTTGTTCACGTCATGATCCTGTATGAGTAGATTGTGCTGGGCCAGGGGGAAGCTTGGTCTCTGAAGAGCATCCAAGGATCAGGCCCTGGGATCAGCTCACCTCCTCAGGACGTGGTTTCCATCCTGCAATCTAGCATCTTCCTAATGCCAGAAGGACGAAGAAAGCCCAGAGGGAAAAGAGCCCCCCAGGGAAAGTGCAATCAGTGGTGCAGTGTCTTTCTCAACATCCCATGAATCAATATTTTGCCACATTTCACAGGAAAATAAAAGTGCTGCCTTCTGTCTCTATTTCGACTTAATTCTGTTACTGCCAAAACATTGCATCATGATAAGGAGTAGGTCAGTTGGCATTCTCCACTGTGCCAGTGCCACCCCAGGCCACCTAACTGTGCAAGGCACTTCCCTTTCTTGCATAAATCACCAAGACATGGGCATTCTGTCACTTGCCACCAGAGGAATCCTGTTCAGGGCAGCATTGCATTGTGACTTGAAGCTCTGACCTTGATGAAGTAATCCTTGATTACTTGAAGAGGGTCCAACATGGTGTAGCATTTTCTGAAAGAAAAGAGAAAGCAAGGCCAGAGACCGAGCTCCAAGAAAGCGTCTTGGACATCCCAGTCACCCTGTTTGTTTCTTTGTTTGTTCATTTGTGCCCTTTTATGTAGAGCTGCAGGCAGCACACTGTCCAGGGCTGGACTCCAGGGAGGGAAGAAACATGCGAGGTCCAGTGTTTAAGGAGGCTCTCACCGACAGGGCTGCGTCTACCTTCACTGGCCCCTGAGAGTGAATACTTCCTTAAACCGCGCACAGTAGGCTTTCAGCTGCTTTGCAGGAGTCCTGGCCCCATCCCGCCTTATTAGGAAAGTATTAATTAAGAAGAAATGATTATGCGTTCAGAAGAAGAACACAGTAGTACTTGTCTTGTATGTGCACATCTTGTTGATAGGACGCAAAACTATGTCAGACTCGCCGGAGATTTAGCTCAGCAGCATAAGCACCTGCCTGGCAAGCGTGAGGTCATGAGTTCAATCCCAGGTACCAAAAACAACTATGCCAGACTCTTAAGACAGAACCTTCTGCCCAGGGATATAGCTCAGCAACACAGCACCTGCCTGGCAAGTGCAAGGTCATGAGTTTGAGCCCTGGTATCAAAAAAAAAAAAAAAAAAAAAAAAAAAAAAAAGATAGAAAATTATGAGCAGAAGCCCCAGCGCCTCGGGACTCTTCCAGAGCAGGTGACTGGCTCCCAAGCTTTGCCAAGGGAGTCTGTCTTTTCACTAAGTGCCACCCTGCACCGAGGCTGTGGCCAGCATGGCACACGTCCAGTGCCCTTACCCAAAATAACTTGATCCCTGGCCCCGCTGCCTACAGCTCTCGGTGAGTGTTACAGAAATACCCACAGCCTTCCTCTGGCAAGGTGAGCCAGTGTTAATGAAACGGTTTGACTGCCACCAAGGAGGGGGAGGTCTGCTCTGCACCCGGTCTCCTTTCCCCCAGTCCTGACCAGAAACAGAACCGTGGCCCTGAAGATGATCTCAAAGCAGGAGGGGGAAACAAAACCTGGGCTGGGTCTGCTTCCGTTATTCATTACCTCATCCTTTCCTTCCGGAAGGAAATACGGACTTACTGAGTGCGGGCGATGGGCAGGGATTGTTCACATCAGCGCTGGCTCATGCAAGCAGGACACCCAAGGTTCCAGTCCCATGAAGCTTACGCCCCCATAGGAGAGACCAAGAAACATGAACAAATAAACAATTTAAACAAACAGTTTAAACAAGCTACAGTTTTAATAGCACAGATTAGCAGCATGCTATGGCAAAAATCATCCTACTTAGATAAGAGATGGGGAAATCTCTGAAGAGGAGACCTTTCCCCTAAAATAGGAAAGGTAAGAAGCCATGGGAAGCGTCATGGGA